CTGATGTATCTTCTATGCTTTTTAATTGACTGTACCCCACCCTCCTTATGCTGGTCTATGATCATAATAAAGATCTGATTTAGGTGCTGTCATAGAAAAGCAGAGCCTACAAGCCTCCATAGTATGTAGCTCATGGAAATGGGGGATTTTCAATAGTTTTTTCCAAGAGAATTACATTGCCTGGGTCAGTTCTGGCTGGAGAAGGCAGGGCTATCACTCGTTTGGAGCCTAACCATATAGGGCTTTCTAGGCAACAATCAGCATCTTCAACAGCACTCAGAGGCTGATTGGAAGCAAACACAGAGCTTCAAAACGGGGTGTAATCTGTTCATGGCAGCAAACTGTGGTCCCAACAGGCATGGAAAGAACCAAATTAGGGAAACCAGCAATCAATCACCTCTCCCAGTCTCTCTGCAGACACTCCCACATACAGTACGTGCATGCAGGCACGCACAGAATATTGTTTATGTATAAATAATACTGTAATCTATGTTTTAGGCTACAGAGAATATATTTCTTGACACAGACAGCATTGTCTCAGAAGGTGGATCAGCAGCTGCAGATGATTCCTTTGGAAGAGGTTTGCCAGAAGATGGAATGAAGAGGTACCAGTCCATTAAAGAAGAAAACAAATGTCAATATATAGGTGTGTATAGTTAGAACCATAAATTATAAAGGGGGGGGTTCATAGGGAGGAGAGTTATTTCTTCAAGAACCATTATTCTGAGGACAGCTGTATTGAGTGCTTCTTGCATAATTTGCATAATTCAGGAATGAGGCTTTGTGATATAAGAAGTAAAATGCATGCCCAGCTGTCTCGGAGCTACACATGGGCTTCCATCTCATCTTTGTCCTTCCTGTGCCTTTGTTCTTCTTGTTCAGGTTCCCTGCGTATTATAATCTGTCCCACAGATACTCATTAGCAGGCATTCCAGCATAATTCTTGACCTGAGCAAAGGGGGAAGGATGCTTTTGAGTAGAGTGACTGGTGGGTTACCATACCAGCTGACCATCTGAAATTGTTAGATTGCTAAGCTGTCAGTATTGCTGGTGAGCTATACGTGCATAAACTGCAAAACATAGAAGCATAAGGGCAGGAATGTCCAGGAAGAATAAGCAAAAACAAAGGCAAAAAAACTACAACTGGGCAATGTGAATAATACTGATTAATTACATATATATACAGAAGACAGTTTGGATTGGCTTGAAAGTTTCATTTGCTAATTGGTTTTATTATAAATCAAACTGTTCGATAGAAAGGGTAAATAAAATTAAGTGCCATGCAATACTTACAGATTTTTTGGTGGGGAGTGGGGGGAAGAGGTCCTAAAAACTATAGCAATGAAAGATCCAAATTAGTTGAGTTAATGAAAAAATGGGTTATGATTTAACTTTTTTTTTTTTAATGGTAAAAGAATTTAACTCTGAATATATTTTAAGGATACTTTGAGAAAGCAGCTTGAAGGGAATAAAAATAGATGATCCCAAGAGTATTGTAATTTATACTTTTTCCTTCTTTTTCTAACTTTTCCCCCTCTATGCATTCAAGCACTCTAAGTGAAAATATGAATTAATTAATAAAATAATTTGAATTAATTTGAATGATTGAAAATACAAAAGAAACAAGCTGATTAACCATTCTCCCCCTCCCCTTAAAAATAATTTGAAATATTTAGGTGCCATTAAATCAGTTAGCAAGATAGAAACAGAAAGACAGACATCATCAGACATTTTGGAAGAACTTCGGATGCAAGGAATAATCAAGACTTCATGCCCAACCTCTAAAAACAGAACAGCAGATGATGCCATGGTAAGTGATCTTCAAAAATAGTTAGGTATACTTTCAGTTTTGAGTTGATATTTTGTACAGTAGCCTATGAATTACACCAGCAATGGATCTTTCTTCTAGATGTGAGAATTGATGTATTCTGAAGGCTCCATTTCTTCCTGGTTGTTCCTTACACTTGAAGCTCTTCCCAGAACAGCTTTGTGATAATGTCCCTCTCTCTCTTCTTCTTCTTCTTAAAAATACACTTCTGTATTTATAGATTTAGTTTATAGACTTTCAATCCCATGCCAAAAATAAGCAAAAAGTACATGTAACCAAACAGAATAAGTAGGACTGAATTAATAGCATGGCAATATGGAATTCTCCTATGCCTATTTCATGCTAGTACTGACCATAAATCTCCTGAAAATGCTTTTCCTGAGATGGGGGATTAGCTGATTAATATGTAGAATAGCTTATTACCTGAACACCAAACACTAAAATCAGGATAATTTTAATTGTAATTTTTTGAAACAAACTAGCTTCATAAATCCTGGTCTGAATTTGGTCTGTTTCAAATAAACATACATACTTAAGAATAACTGTGTGTGCTGGAACTAAACTACACACACTGAAAAAATAGTAACTAAACATTCCAACCTTCTTCTTGCAAACATGCCGAGGAATTAAAAGGGAGACCATGATACCAGAGAAAATCTAATTTTGTGGCTTTTGAATGAGAATTGATACCTCACTTAAAAAAACCATGACTGGCTTCTGGTAATTGCCTACACTGATGTACTCAAATTCACTAAACTAAAGGCCAGTCTTACCCATGTTTATTCTGAACTAAATTCTGATGTATCAATTTTTAAAATATGCTTTTAACTTTCAAAAAAGTCAAGTGGCAACAAGGAAAAAAAATAAATACAAAGCCATATACATGATTCCCCCCCCCCAAAAAAAACCTGTGCAAAAGCTCAGCATATCCTAAAATTGCATTTCAAATCATAGGTGACTGTGAGAGGTGGCAAGCGATAAAATGTGTGTTGCAGTCCTCTTGAGGTGCAAGCTCCGCCCCTTTCATACATGCACGCAATATCCCAACACAAGTATAAGAGCGCAGAGTTTGGGTAGTAACATCACATTCCATCACTTTGCCATCTTTATTTATCCGGGTATTGAATAAGCTTGATGTTGCTTATAGAACTAAGTGCTCCAATGAACTACATGTAAACTGATTTGTAATGAACTTTAACTGATATAGCATTGGCTCAAGTGCGAGTAACCTTAACAATATTTCTGAATCTTTTGCGATACCACAACAAGTGAAAGAAGGTTAATTTCCTCATGATCATATCAGAGTTTACAATGCTGTGTAAAAAAAACCCAGAGCTATTAATTATCACAGTGCCACCAACAATCATCGCATCTAGTCAATGGGATCAATAAGTTTGTGCATCTGTTAAAGCAGCATTCTGTATATCTGTTCCATTTTATCTCTGTTACTCCGTAGTCATCCTTACTCCTCTCCCCAAATTATGATGCAGAGAACTTAACCAAAATAAAAACAAACCTTGCACAGTACTGAGAGAAGGGTGCAGTTATGAGGAAGATTTTAGTGAAAAGATTCCTTCTTAAAATCAATACAAACACTGAGGTATAAACAAAAATTTATTTGTGAAAATAGGAAACAGGAATTAAAAGGGAGGCAATCACATGCACATTCAACAATGCAAATCTGGCTTAGCTAGTTCCCTGTTATCTGCTGAAATAAGATGTTAGATTTTGATGTAGTTTATTGGTCCTGCAAACTATCTTACTTTCTGATTAGATTTTGTTAAGGAAATGCCTACTGCAAAAAGTGAAAACAACATCTTAGAAGAAACATATTCACTATATGCTGGTTTGGTTCAGCAAGTAAGAAAGTCACTTAGTGTTTGGCCTCAACTTTTTAATGATCTATACTTGAAGTATAAAATCTCTAAATCCAAGTGTAAAATATTGCACAAAAGAGCTTAACTTTAGAATCTTTATCTGGAAATTAAAGGTGAGAATACAGATTTTCTGACATGGTACCAATTTACTAGGCACTCAGAAGGACACTGTTGAACTGTATCAGAATCTCAGATGCCATAATCACCTTTTAGAATATAATACATTTTAAACTGAGATGTATGTTCACAGAAGTTGCAAAACTGCAAACTACTGTACAAGAGCTGAATGAAAAGTAATGCCTCCAATGCTGTCACCAACAGATGGCAGTACTGACATGCTACGTCATGTTTGTTCAGCATCTGTTCTTTCATTTCAGTTGTCAAGAAGTTGCTATGAGAAAAATGTTGTGTTGCTATTGTTCATGAAATGGAAGCCTGCAGTGAGTATTTGTCAGTATGCTTTAAGCAACATGCCATGATTTAATTTTTTACTGCAGAAGAGTCCCTCCAATTGAAATTCACCATCAAATGCAGATTGTTCATAGGGATGATTGTGCTGATGTGAGTACTGTGTGTCACTGGGCTAAAAAATATAAAGATGGTGAATTGGGAAGAGCTGATTTGTATGATTAAGAACTAAGTGGATGACCTACAACAGCAACTGACAGGTTTCATTTGAGAAAGTTTGATGAACCAATTAAGGACAATTGGTAGGTTACTCAAAGGGAAACTGCTGTCAAGCTTGGCATTTCACAGGAATGTGTTAATCACATTACTGATGTTCTTCAGTAGCAAAAAGCTTGTATAAGATAGGTTCCTTGCATGCTGACAGCAGAGAGGAAAGCTTCAAGAACTGGAATTTGCCAGCAATTGTTGTCATGCTACTAGAATAAAGGTGATGAATTTCTTCACAGCATTGTGACAGCTTATGAAACATGGGCTCATCATTATGAACCAAAAATGAAACATCAGCCCATGCGATATCATCACAAAAATCACCTGTGGGGGGAAAAAATGTCAGAAAACCCAGGCTTCATGGTTGCAGTTTTTGGGATGCAGATGATGTTATTCACGTGGATTTCTTGAACCTGGCAGCACTATCAACTGAGAGCACTACACTGTAATGCTCAAAACTTTGAAACAACAATTAAGCAGAGTTCTGAAGGATAGGAAGGAGATTTCTCTGTGGTGCGAAAACATTGGGCCTCACACCTCTTGAGCTACCCAAGAGGCAATTGCAAAGCTGAATCTCACTGTCTTACCCCATCCAATGTACTGTCCAGACTTGGTGTCATGTGACTTCTATCTTTTCCCAAAATTGAAGGAAAGCTTCATGGGCATGTGTTTGACTCAAATAAAGAGGTGGAAAGGACTGTCAGGGCGTGGTTGAAGAGACAAAGTATGGAGTTCTTTGTGTGTAGCAAATGATGGTGATTATGTGGAGAAATAAATACAGGTAACAAAAGAGCTCATTTCAAGAATTATTTTCCTATTTCATTTATTAAAATATCCCTATTTAAACTGAAGTTATGTAAGTGAAGGCATTACTTTTTATTCAACCCTCATAAATATCACCGAGTAGTTCTTTCTGCTTCCATTTCCTAAGTTTTATTTTCCAATGTATTTCCTAATTTGTAATTTATATTTTTCTAGTAAATATACAGAGTAGAACAGTCTGTTTTCTTTTAAAATACAAAATCTCTTCACAAATAAGCTTCTATCTATCTATTTCTACAGCTGGTACATACAGAAAGGATACTGCAAAAACCACCAGCCAAACTGGAAAAGCTTGAAATTAAACAGAAGAAATCACATGATTTACCAATAGAAGACCCTGAAAATAAGGTTAAAAAAATACAATAATCTATCCCACTTTATATTAGTATTTGCATATCTAGTAATCAAGGATACATGCAAAATCATAGCCAATGAATAAATAGCGAAGGCCCTAGACTGTTCTAATCCTCAGCAGGTATATTATAGAATGTTATAAAACACTATTTTATCCCCAATTTTTTTTATCAAAGATTGTAGAACTGGGTGTCCCCAATAGGAAGGTGACTCAGCTCTACTTCTGTATAACATCTGTATCAGAAAAATACGGGCATATTCCAAACCAGTGCTTGGATGCAGTGATCATTAGAAGGGGGCAATACAGTAAACAGGGAATGAATTTCGATAAGTCAGAGGTCGTTGGCCTGGGTGGGCCCTAGGTTCAGGAAGTGGGGGATTGACCTGCTCTAAATAGGATTGGACTCCTAGCCGGTGCAGAATGCGAGAGCCAGACTGGGCTTGAGTATGTTGCCTCTTTGCCAGTAAAACAATTGCATGGAGTGCCAGTTACCAAGCCAAGGTCAAAGTTCTGATTTTAACATGTAAGACCCTAAACAACTTGGGATCAGCATACCTGTCATATTGGCTTTGCTGTTATAGACCCAGATGATCACAGAGATCATCAGGGGAGGTGTACTATATTTACAGACAGCTGCTGAATGCCACTTAGGAGATGCTCATAGGCAGGTCTTCTCTGTGATGATGTCCATGGTTCGGAATGCTCTTGACTCTGAAATTCCAGAGGTGTTTTCTATTACAACTTTTAGGCTCCTGTTGAAACCTTCTCTCCTCATTCAGGCTTTCCTGGTATGAATGTTGGAAGAATGCTTCCCCTGCTTTTTCATTATGTTCTAGTTTTTATTTAAGATGACTTCATATTGTTTTAAGTTGTTGTTTATTATATATTTTACTGCTGATTTGACTGAAAATGCTTCAGCACAGAAAGCTATATAGAAATATATTAATTTAATTTAATTTAATTTAATTTAATTTAATTTAAATAAATCAATAGAAGGAGCTCAGCTCTTTCTCTGTCATTCCACTTTGCATTCTCACACGTTGACTACATCCATATTAGTAATTTCTTAATTAGGGCTAGTGTGTGTGTGTGTGTGTGTGTGTGTGTGTGTTTGCTGCGCAAAAATATGTTATGCTTAGCCTGTCTAAAGACTTGTCTCTTTTTAGACAAGAGAAGAGCAACTGAAAAAAGAATTGCTGACTGATAGATCATCACCAATAATTTCTTCTGAAAGCAGAGTGCATATAGGTAGTTCTAGATTTAAAAAAACTTCCAATAATTTTCAATTGCCACCCTTAAATGTGGGGACAGGAAGTTGGACAGAGAAGGAAGAACTGAATGATAATATAAATAATGGTTTTGAAGATTTTACAATGGTGGAGTCAGACAGAACTTATAACACAATACATGAAATATTCTAACCACCACCGTTTGTTTCAAAATTTTAATCTCTAACCATTTTAACTTAATATTATTGGTAGCAATAAAGGTTGCTGTACTCTGAAATATCTGGATTGTTCTATTTTGTGAGGTGGCCTTAGGGTTTTTCCTTCTCCTTCCCTTTTTAAACTTTAAAACAAAGATAAAACACAGCTCCAGGCTGTGCCTTGGCTGTGCTTCTGCATGGGCAAATCTCAACAGAAGGCCCACAGGAATGACATGAAAATCAATGTTTGCCCCATGGAGCACTGGCTTAGCTTTTTTTTTTTTTTTTTAAGAAATAAAAGCTCTTGTGCCACCTTGTTAAAAGGAATGATGCCATCCCTCAGATTTTGAGATCATTTTCTTTATGACTCATCTGAAAGGGGGAAGAAAATAAGGTTTTCCTAATCCTCCTATCAGATATTTTAATTGGAAAAGCTGAAAAATAAACTTAGGGACAATTTATATATAAACCATGTGCTATGTGATGAGCACTCATTGCTTCAAAATTATATATATATTGTGCTTCATCTATGCATGTGTTACCTTTGGGCCAAGCTAATCTTTATATTGTTCCAAATGCAAATTTATACAAATACCACACATGCAAATATATATCATAGAATCATAGGGTTGGAAGGGACCTTGGAGTTAAATAATATTTAAAAAGAGAAAATGTCTGATTTTCTCCTTCACTATTTTTAGTTTGGAGGTTTTCTATAGTCCTGTTATCAATCCAGGTAGGATTAGTTCAAGTGTGTTGACACTGAGCAGTAAATAATTTCCAGATTGTCATATATAGAATTTAGCTTGAAAGCAGAAGAGACTGTACAAGGGCCATGTTGAAGTGGAAGCAGGCTGTTACATATATACTGTTTTTATTATAATTGTCTAGTACAAGATCTGTATCCAATGTCTTGATGTCATGATGATGTCAAACTGGCAAGTGTGTGATGTCATCACTCAAATGCTGCAATTATGCCAGTGCATCTGCAGAGGGAAAGGGAGGTCTAACTGACAAAGCAGTGTTGCAACTCTTTAGGGCATGCAATATTGTTTGAATGCCCAAAATGGGAAGAACTTGTGTGTGATGTCACAATAACACTTGTCCTGATGACAGCAGCAAGATCCTTCGGATGCTACTGAATTATATACTAGTGCCACAACATTTTATTCAAGGACATAAATCACAGCACTTGTGTGGTGAAAGTATCATGCCTAGGTTGTCATTTTCCCCCTGTGGATGTCCATGTCTTGTATTATATCCAGCAAGCAATGCCAAACACGGCCAGTGTGAAAAATGCTGGATCCAGTCATGGTCTGGACAACCTTCTCAACGGCAGTGCCTGTCCTATGGCACAGCATCCCACCCCCCAGAGTTCTAGAGGGCCCCATCCCTGTTAGCCTTTCATAAGGCCCTGAAGACCAGGCTGCTTCCCCAGGCCTTTGGGTCAGGAATTTAGATGAGCTCTGCTATAGCTGATGTGCTTTTTTTTGGTTTTGTTTATCCTTGGGTGCCAGAGGTTATAGGTCATGGATTTTTTTGTTTGTTTGTTTTTAATCCTTGTATGCTGCCAGAATTACCTGTGTGATACGGGCGGCCTTATAAATCATATAAATAAAATAAAATATAATATAAAATAAAATAAAATAAAAGGACCAGGAGGTTTGCTTGTATCCTATCAGCTGAAAAATGATGCAGTGAAAACAAAAAGTTTACTCACTTTTCTAATGAATATTTCCAGGGTTGTTCAGTACATATAAAACACATTATCCAATTTATTTTCTTTCTCTTTCTAATAAATATGAATTAATACCTCTGGGGAAGCGTGCTAATTTTTTAAAAATGGCCTTGGGATTTCACATCTTGTGTGTGCTATCTGGAATCAGCCACAAGTAGAAAGGAGGGTGTCATAGTGCTTCCCTGTCAGACAATAATTTCCAACTCTTCAAGGTAGCCCAGACAAGAAACCAAAACCATGAGTACTAACCTAACATTAAAGAAGCACATCAGCTTTAATGTAAGGTTACAGTAACAGAATCTTGCAAGTCTGCAAGCCCTTCTTCCCTCCTTTCCTTTTACTTTCCAGAGAATGAGGGAGGGTCTCTTCTGAGATGCTTTCTCCACTCCCATTCCTTCTGTGGGCTGAGATATCTCTTGTCAGATTGTTGTCTAGGTTATGGCTCTTCCTTCTGTCTCCCAAGGTTATTCTCACAGCCTATTACAATAATACTGAATCTGTCCACACAATTATTTTCTGAGAACTTTAGGTGGAGCTCTGGTGAAGATTGGCACCACAAAACTCATCCACAGTCAGAGCAATTCCACACCACAGGCTAAGCTGCTTGTTCCCACGTTCTCCCAGCTGTTTCTTAAGCCAACTTCAGGAATTCCAGCCCACATTTCAGTGGGTTAGTAATGGGATTGGTTGGTGTTCAGTCTGCACTATGGCCACCACACAACCTGCATTCCAGGCAGGGAATGCAAACCTCCCTGGATGGTCCCTGTGTTGACCAATATAGCAGTGCCTGTCTTTTCTTTTAGGAATTGTTCCATCCTCAGCAGTTCCTGTGATTTTCTTTTGCTTTCCCAGATATTTGTGCATATGGATGCCTTCACGCCCCTTTCCCATTTTATATCCTTTGACACTAATGCAGACTCCCCCCCCCCTTTTTTTCCACCTTATTGTAGCATGGTTCCTCTAATGCTGCAATAATCAAAGCAATGGGGGACCAGGTTGTTCTTTCATTCCTACTTTTCTATGAAGGTCTAAGGAAAATTTGAATAAAGAAAGGAAGAACTGGTAGTTCTGTTTCAGAGAACATAGAACTACCAGTTCTTCCTTTCTACAACTTTTTAAAAAGGGAAGGGAAGATTAGCAATACAGTAGACATGGGGTGAGAAAACAAGGGGAACTGGGGCAGAAACCAGAAGGGTGACAAATGGAAGATGTAAGGGTTGAGTTTCTGGGGGTGAGGATTTTTCATTTTAATTGGAGAGACTCCTTGGGCAGCCATTTTGTAAGCAAGCAAGATTATAAAGAATGTGGAGAACACAGCAGCCCAGGACAAAATGTCTGCCAAGGACAATGACCAGCTGCCAGATTGGAACAAAGTGCTCAAGAGCTTCCACTCTGAAGGGCTTAAGATGGCTCCAGTCAGAAAATAGCAGTTTTGAACTGAGGCTGGAAAACACAGGCATGGGGAGCATTTGAAATGGGCTGGGAGTGAGAAGAAAACAATGTCACCCATTCCTGCACTCAGTGGCCTATGCTGGTCATGAGCCAAGCAGAAATTGTAGACCTCTTTGGAGTGTCATCAATGTCAGGTTGCACTGAGTAAGCATTCTTCTGTTCAATTTCCATTCTCATGTTGCACTGTCTAACATTTTTGCCAGCCTAGCCTTGATGATTGCATGATTAAAGCACAATAAATAGTATCCAACAGTATTTGACCATGTGTCCTTGATCCTTGTGACTACATACTTTCCAAAATAATAATAATAATAACAACAACAATAATAATAACAACAACAACTATTCTTATTAAATAAGGACAGTGAAGAAGATGCACTGAAGCTAGTACACAATGAAAGCTTACTGAATACCAAAGAAACCAAACTGGCCTATAAAAAGGACCAAATGAAGAATAAAAAAGAGACATGGCAAGGCAAAGTATTACATGACCAGTACACAAAAAAATTAGCAGACACAGCAGATAACAACAAGACCTGGCAATGGCTAGGAGCAGGAAAGTTGAAGAAAGAGACAGAGGGGTTAATTCCAAAGAAACCAAACTGGCCTATAAAAAGGACCAAATGAAGAATAAAAAAGAGACATGGCAAGGCAAAGTATTACATGACCAGTACACAAAAAAATTAGCAGACACAGCAGATAACAACAAGACCTGGCAATGGCTAGGAGCAGGAAAGTTGAAGAAAGAGACAGAGGGGTTAATTCTGGTTGCACAAGACCAAGCCTTCAGAACAAATGCATATAAAGCCAGAATTGAGAAGACAGCGACAGCAAATGCCGCCTCTGCAAAGAAGCTGAAGAAACAGTGGACCACCTAGTTAGCTGCTGCAAGAAGATCACACAGACTGACTACGAACAATGGCATGACAAAGTAGCAACAACGGTACATTGGAATATCTGCAAGAAATATCATTTGCATGCAAGCAAGAACCGGTGGGACCTCAAAACAGATGAAGTAATAGAAAATGAAGAAGCTAAAGCGCTCTGGGACTTTCGAATTCAAACAGACAAGCACCTGCCACACCACACCCAAGACTTG